ATACAAATCTATTAAATGTTCATTGCAAATGTGATTTTGCGCACTTGACAAAAAACTAGAAGAAGAAATGCAACAAAAAGTATCGGCTATTTTTTTTTATCGATATCCAATAGTTGATGGAGTTGATAATAGTGTCACATACAATACTGCGAAAATAAAAAATGATGAATATGTTAGGTCAATGCTTCAATGCCACTCTAGGTTTGGCGGTATACATACAATGGAGTTGTATGTTTGTTTTCAAGAAGCACATGAAGTTTATCCCACAAAATCATCCCAAACACATCAATATCAGATAAGCCATTCCTCCCTACACAAAGAGCCATCCTAAACACAACATAAGAGCCATTCTTTCCAGAAGAGAAGGTTGAGGATGATAGCGATTCTGACGATGCTAGACAACTTGATTTGTTTAGTGGTTCTAGTGACGATTCAGGTGACAACAACAGACGCGTAGCTGACCCATCTCCTATACTTGATTTATACTGTCCACCATATCACATGAAAGATGTTTCCTTAGAGTCCAATGAACACATATCAGTCTTTGAAACCATAGACGAAGGTCATGTACATGGATGTTTAGAGGTTGGAATGACGTTTGAAAATAAAGAAGGATTTGTTTATGCAATCAGTCAATATCACATTAAAAATTGTTTTGATTACAAAGTTTGTAAGTCTTATACGACCCGACTTTTGGTTAAATGTAAAAAATAAGGATGCAACTTCACATGCAGAGCATCCTTAAGAAATGAGTGTTGTAAATGGGTTATTGGCAAATCGGTGGACCACATACTTGTATGTCGTCTGCTATATCTCAAGATCACAACAAGCTTGACTTAAATATCATCTCCCATAGTATCAGAGCTCTTCTCAACAATGATGCTGCAATCAAGGTGAAACTTATTATCGCTTATATTTGTACAATTTACAACTACACCACATCATACAAAAAAGCGTGACTTACAAAGAACAAAGCAATTGAATCTATTTATGGGAACTGAGAGTCCTCATACAACAACTTCCTGCAATGGTTGTTGCTCATGCAACAAATTCTTTTTGAGACTGTAATAGAACTTGAAACACTACCTACATATTCAGTTGATCAACCCAAAAATAATTAATAGTTTTAAATTTTAAAGATAAAATAATATATTTTAAATGCAAGTACTTCTTTTTTACTAAGCTTTAAACTATTGCAAGCATATGATGGCAAAATACTACATGTTACGTTAAAATCTATATATAAATCTAATATTCAACATAGTTGCATATTTTTAGTAAACATTGTGCTTGTGCGTTAAATAAGTTTTTGGTCCCTCTAAATATCTCATATTTCATTTTTAGTTAATCTAAATTTTTTCTTTAAAGAATGGTCTTTCTAAAAAATTTAATTTTAACTTTTACTCCCTACTGATAAAATTCTAGTCAAAATGGTCTATAATTCCATCGCTAAGTAAGAACCGTCGCTAAAACCATCACTAAAACGGTCGCTAAGTTGTAAAAACCGTCGCTAAATTGCAGGAGGGACCAAAAATTAAAATTTAATTTTTTAAGAGGACCATTCTTTAAAAGAAAAATTTAGAGGGACTAAAAATGAAATTTTAGATATTTAGAGGGATCAAAAACTTATTTTAACCCTTAAGTTTTAGGTTGTGTTACACTGATGTGAGAAATTAATGCTAAATTAAAGGGTTAAATTCACAATTTTCTCCTGCAATATAGACGAGTTTCGGTTTATCTCCCTTTAATTTTTTTTTAATACTCTCTGTAATATTTTTTTTTTGAATTATCCCTAAGCCTACAATTTTAACACTGAATATGGAGAATTAAATGGTTAAATACACAATTTCCCCTTACAATATAGGCGAGTTTCAGTTTACCCTCTTAAATTTTTTTGTTATACCCCCTATAATTTTTTTATTTTGAATTACCCATAAGCGTATAATTTTAACACTGAATCTGGAGGGATAAATCAAAATTCTTTTTTATACAGGAAAATAATATTTGTACTTAGAAGACAAAAGACTTAATATTTTAAAATTTAGAAAAACATTTAAAAAAATTAAAAAGGAATAAAACGAAACTCGCTTATATTATAGAAACAATTATGCATTTAACCTTAAATTAAATATAGGTGCACAAATTTATACTTTTCCTTTTCCTTTTTTACCTCTATTCATTTTGTAGAACTTCATCATAGTCATATAACTTACTTTCTCTCTTTTCATAGAACTTCATCATAGTTATATAACTTACTTTCTCTCTTTTCATTTTATTCTTCTATTAGTAAATTTTTACATGGTTGACAGATAATACTAACTGAGAATTAACACATAATATAGTATTAAATTGTTTAATTTCGATGATCACTGTTAGTATAATGTCTATTTTATTTTAATCAATAATTATTTTTATTAATAAAATAGTAATTTTTCTTTGAGTGAAGATGTTTCTAGTATTTTTCATTTTTTCAAATACTATGTCCCAATCCCAACTATTTATTATGTCCCTATGAATTTCATCACTGAAACTCATTATTTTTATGAGTTATTATCATTCTAATACCTTTTTTATGTTAATAAATAAAATATTTGTTCAATTTATTTTGTTGATAATAAATTTTATGAATTTTGTTCAATTTTGAGTTTTTTACATGCATATTTGGATTGTCTCTTAATTATTCTTAACGTGATTCTTAATTTGTTACATTGATTGCTCTATTTATATGATCCTTTCATGTAATAAAGTTGAGACATATGTTAAGTAATTAATAGTTTATATATATTCAAAACAATATTTTTTTTAATAAAGTTAATTTCTATGCATCTATGAAAATAAACATAAATATAATTTTAATTTGATTTAAATATAGGTATAATTGAATTTATGTGCTTCTAAATATATTTTATACCGTATCAAATAAATTTACCCGTACGAGATCACAAGTATTTTAGTAGTTAAGTTTATGAAAGAAACACTATAATTGAGTTTGTATAGGTCTTAGCTTTTTCTATTTATTTGATCAATCTTATACATAATAAGAAATTTTATAAATAGTTTCCTATATGATTATTACTATTCTATAAATAAGTATATGTATAATCATAGTCTAATATAATGCTACCTCTGGTTCTACTTATAAGAAAAAAATAGTTTTATAGATACATTGGGTAACTAATAAATCTGGACAATATATAAAGCAAATATATTGTGTATTCAATGAAATTAAAAAGTAATCTTTTTCTTATAAATAGGACCAAAGGGAGTAATAGTTTAATATACCTCTGTAGTCAAAATAGGAGGTTGACGAATGTTGAGACTATCACGAAAAATCATCAAAGAGTTGTAATGGGAGTTCTTTTGGTAGTGGAAAGGAACATGTAAGACTCGTACCTGGCCGCGAGCCACTTTTTCATGCATAAAATGTATATCCATCTCGATGTGTCTGGTGCTTTGATGTTGAACCAAATTGTCAGATAGATAAACTGCACCCACATTATTACAATAGACTAGAGTGGTAGTGGTTACAGGTCAATATAGTTCCAATAGTAAATTTCTAATCTAACAAGATTCATATACAACATTAGCGACCCCGTGGTACTTGACTTCTGCACTTGAGCGAGAAAGTATGTGTTGGTGCTTGGTAGACCATGAGATGAGATTGTCCCCAAGATAGACACAATAGCTAGAGGTGGAATGCCTGATGTCTGGACATCCAACCCAATTGGCATCAGTGTAAGATACCAATTTGTTGACTGAAGAGAGATACAAATGAAGGCCATAATCAATAATGTCGTGAATATACCGAATAATACGCTTCAGAGCTGACATATGTTACATTTTAGGATAATGTATGAATATGTATGTATGTTTACTACATAAGATATATATATCAGGTCTTATGAAAGTTAAATATAACAATGCACCTGCAAGACTCCAATATTATGTTGGGTCATGATATGGATTTCTGGAAGATTCACTGAGTTTTGTCTTGGTGTCGACTGGTGTAGGTGATGACTTGCAAAAGGACATGCATGCCCGTTCTATAGTTTTCTCTGCATATTTCTTTTAAGATAAGAAGAGACCACCTGTATGTTTAATGATAGATATTCCTAAAAATAACTTAGAGGGCCCAAATCCTTCATAGTAAATTCAGAGCTGAGTTTAGACATAGTAGAGTCACGAAGAACATCAGAGGAAACACTGAGAATTATGTCATCCACATATAGAAGAATATAAGAAATATCAATATCATGATGATAAATGAATAAAGAATGATCAAAGATAGTGAATCTTTGGTACCAGACATGAGGTGCTTATTTGAGACCATAAAGAGACTTCTTGAGGAGACATACATGCTCAGGGTACCGCGGGTCATGAAAACCAAGAGGCTGGTGCATATAGACGGTTTCACCAAGATTTCCATGCAAAAAATCATTCTTGACATCTAGTTGAAGAAGACACCATGACTTAGATAATGCAATGCAAAGTACCATGCAAATAGTGACTGGTTTGACAACGGGCTTGAACGTTTCACAACAATTAACACTAGATTATTGATATGCGCCATTACCTACAAGAAGAACTTTGTATAGCTTAAAAGAACCACCAGGTTTCTTCTTGTGCCTGAAAATCCACAAACTTTGAATAACATTAATATTAGAAGGACGATGAACTAATTCCCATGTATTATTGTCAATAAGAGCATCATATTCGTCTTTCATGGCCATTTTTTAATTATGATTATTTAATGCTTCAATGGTATTTGTAGGTAAAGGATAAATAGATTGGTGGGCTGATGTGCGTAGGTTGAAAATATTATAAGGTTTGACAATACCGCATTGTGCGTGGGTTGTAATTTGAGGAGAATGAGGTGCATTAGGGGATATATATGTGTGTTGATAGGTTGAGGTGAGGAGGTAGGAATTTTTTTTGTAGTGGAGTCTGGTGTTTGGGCCATGGGTATAGGTTGAGAGGAAGGGGGTGTTAGGCCATAGGTGATGGTTGAGAAGGAGAGGTGTGTTGGGCTGAGGAGGGTGTTGAGGAGGCTTAAGGTGTTTGGACCGTGAGTGTAGGTTGAGAGGTAGAAGGAGTTTGTTGATTAGTGGCTATGTGGGGAGAATATGTTGTTTGAGATGTGGTGTATAATTGTGAGGAAATGAGAGGGATTATGCCGTCATCTAGAAAGTTATAGTTAGTCATTGTAGGAGCATTTATGATAGAAAGGGAAACATATTTTCTTTAAAAATAATGTGCCTAGAAATAATGAGTTTACGAATTGACAATTCATAACACTCATAACCTTTATTATTAGACAAATAGCCCAGAAAGACACAAGGTGTACATCGAGGTTGAAGTTTATTCCTATTGGTGGGTAGAACGAGGGGATGACAAAGGCATCAGAATACTCGAAGGTGTGAATAGGTTGAGTCTTTTTGATAGAGAATATTTGTGGATGATTGGAGAGTTATTTTCTTATTTAGAAGTATGTTTTATAGGTAAGTGGCCATCTGTAGAGCATGGTGTCAAAAATTTAATGGAATAGAAGCATGAGCAAGGAGGGTTTAGATGTTGTTATTGATTATACGATTTTTTTCCAGCTTTTCCATTTTAAGGGGAGGTGTGTGGACAAGAGAATCTAAAAGACATTCCATTTAGTTCACACAACATTTGAAAGAGAGCATTATCATATTCTTTTCCATTGTCAAATTAAAAACATTTTAAATCACATTCAAATTATTTTAATGTGACCACAAAATTGTAAAAAAAAAAAGGAATGTTCTTGTGATTTGTTTGAGATTGGAAAAGTCCCTAAAAATTGTAAAATCATCAAGGAATAACACATAATAATGATGCCCCCCAGAGCTTAATATCGGAGAAGTCCAAAGATCACTATGAAAGATGTCAAAAGGCATATAAATAAATGACAAATAATTATAAAATGTATTATTATTTGTTTTCCAAATGGACAATAGTGACAATAAATCATTTCAAAACTTATTACATATCAAAAGTTTTTTTGATGAAGATAATTTAAAATAGGAGCTCCTAGATCTCCTAAACAGCTATGCCATAACTCGGTAGATGAAGCGGCAACAATAGATGGTGGTGATGTTGTTGTGTTTTGTCTTATGGCAATGGGGGTAAGGGTCATCAAAACAGTTACATATCATTAAATGTATTCTTGTATAAAAATCCTTCATAGAAAAATCGAAAGGGTCAAATTCAACATACATCATTATCAATTGTAAATTTTATGGCTGAAGCAAGCTTTTTTTTATAAGTTTTGGTGTATGTAAAACATTGTTTAAGATTAAGGAATTGGTTAAAGATGCATGTCCCTAACCTATAACATAAATATGATGACCATTTCCAACAGTAATATTATTACTCATGTTAAAATAAGATGCAAGGTTACCTCAATTTCCCGTTATATGAGAAGTTGATATGTGTAATACGATGGGAGAACTGACTTTTTTGGGTTTATCCGAATATACGGATAGCAAGAGTCGCCACCGAATTTTATTTTATCCAATATTTAGGAAAGGTGAAAAGAACAGGAAAGACCTTTGATAGATTTTGAGTTCGGGGGGTAAGTTATGAAAAGGGAAGGTGTTAGTACCCTTTTCATCCATAGTTATCTACGGACTCTTAATTTCTTAGATCACTTTTGAAAACATGGTTTGTGTGTATGATTTGTTTGAAAATATTTTGAAAAGCCAATGTAAGGCTGACTTTGTAATGATTCTTGTATCACTCCTCAAGAATGCGTACAAAGTGTTTCGAAAATATTTGTTTGAAAGTGACGTGTTTTGAAAAATGTCTTTTTTTGTGAAAAATGTTGTGAGTAAGAATTTAAGATTTCCTTACTCGCTAAAGGTCTTTCTTGTTCTTTTCCTTCTCCTTTAGAAATAGTACTATTAACACTATTAGTTGGTAGGTAGCCCTATCTATTGAATATGAAGGGACAAGCGTAGGGTCATCATATGGTCATCGAAGGTAACATATAAGGATACTTTAGCAATTTTATCGGAGGGACTATTATCATTTACTCGTAGGGACTAGATTATTTTGTAGGCAACTTTGAAGGGTCATCGAGGGACTATGATCTCTATTCGAAAGGGACATGATGGTTTGATCAAGGGTCTTTTTGTTAAAGTATCCCCACTTTTGAGGGACGTGACCAAGTATCGTAAGGAAACAAGAGAGGATACTCTAGAGGTGCAAGTGTGAAGGGTGTATTAGTTTCAGTTATATTATCTTAATATTAGGGTTTTCTACGTTCAGTTATCAATCTTGTCATACAAACTCTAATTACTAATCATATCAGAAAAATATAAGTGAAAGAATATAAATGTCCTACGCTATTACATCCTTGGAGCAGATACATAATCAGAAAAAAGATGCGGAAAATAAATCTATGCTATTACATTAGAGAATGTGTCCTATACATTTTGTCTAAGAAATTAAATAGCAAAGAAAGACAATAGGAAAAATGTTAAAAAAAGTTAAAAAGACCTAAAATCTAATGTTTTTGGTATTTTATAGAAAATAATTTAACTGTTAAAAGTAATTAATAAAACCTAAATTCTAATTGATTTTAATATTTAAGAAAAAAAGTTGATTAATTAATTAATTTAGTAAATAAAAAATATATCAAGAAAATAAGTAATAGTTAAAAAACCCTAATCCTATATTATTAGTATTAATAAAAACAGTGCAATAATGATGATGTTGGACCCTATCCCCCTAATTTGGACCTCCTGAACCCAATGGTGATATTGTTTTTGGCTAATTCATCCTGTACAATGAAATACTATCAAAATAAAGCAAAACAGTGCAATAATGATGATGGAGTATTCTGGCATCATGGACCTCATGCAAGGGACAAAACCTGCGCTATTTTGTCTCAGGAACACATTGAAACGTTAATTTAAATCAAAGCATCACAAATATTAAAATATGAATTTCATAAAATATGTCAAACCGATGATGTTTTGAATGCACATTTTAGGGACATTTGATCATCAAGAATGATTGAAACTTACCCTATGTTACCTCAGGGATCGTTTTGAATGGCTACTTAGCCTTGAGGATGGCTGCAAACAGGAATTCAAATTCAACCTTTCCTTACAAATTTTCAATCTCCAAACCCTTGTTTCTTGAGCAGCCACGCATGTGGTTTTGGTCTGAACATCTAGTATACTTATAGGAGAAATGATTAGGTTAAAAGATGGGCTTGGACATCATATGAAACATATCTTTGATTTTTTTTTTGAAAATAAGTTGAAATATTACAAAACCATGACGATTTGATTCACAAATAGGTGCACACAGTTTGTAGCATGACCTTGGGCCTCCAAAAGATTCAGATCACAAGCCTTTTATGTCTTATACATTTATTTAATATTTATTTGATTTAATTTTGAATTTAAATGAATAAAAATCAAAATAAAAGAAATAAAAATTAAAAGGATGCATAAATGGACTTATAGGTCCATTATGAGGTAAGGAACACGTTTGGACTTTAAAAGATAGGCCCATTAGCCTAAAAATTCAAATTTGCTCAATTTGGATACCATGCATTTTCTCAAAATTTCCCAACTTGCACCAATCATAATATACTCAATTTTTATTATATGAATATGATCTTGGACTTTTTGGAAACCTCAATACGTCTCTTACAACTTTCATGTTGGTCATGTTTTCATTTGAAGACTTTATCTTGATGTAAAGTGCTTTCACAAAAAGTGTCTCTTTGTTGACTTTATAAATGACCTGTAATGTTTTGGCCCATATCTCTCAAATTTTTTGGCCTTGAGCTTAGAGATATAGAATTTAATTTAATTCAAAATAAGCTTTGATTGAAATTTTTTTTGATGAATTATGTGAAAGTTATGCTTGGTCAAAGTTTAGTTGACTTTTCCTAATGAAAACCCTAATTTAGCATCTTCTGACTTTTGATGAATCTTGAGTTTTCTTGATGAATCATGATCAAACCTTAACCAAATGATGAATATGACTTCAAAATCTTGATGTTGACCAAAAATATTGAAGTTTGTCTGTAAATTGGTCAAAGTTGACTTTTTTGTCTAATACATTTGATTTTTAATCATCTGAGTTATTGACTGAGCAAACTTGTGCTGCAAGGCTTGAAACTTGGCATGAGGATTATTTGAAGCATATGAGAAACCATGAAATCCACTTGAGACATTAGAAGTCCAATTTCCTTTGAGAAAAGTGAAACCCTAGTTATAGGTCAACTGCTTAGAAGGAGGGTTTGTCTGATCAACCCTTGAATAGTCTTGAGCAATTGAGAATTTCATGTGCATGAGGAGGTATCTTGAATTAATTTGTCTTGAAAAATTGGAGGGAAAATTTTGGGGTACAACAATATGCTATCCTTATACCATTTATAATCTGGAGGAAAGATGGAGAAAGTATGCATAACAACAATGATGTCTATCAGAGTATAGTATTGTGGTTCTTGCTAACCGATGGAAGTCAATGGTACAATGGATATATCGCCTTGTTGAGGTTTAGGGAGTATGCCTGATTGTTTCTGTGACTCATCTATTATCAGATAGAGACACGGTGGAGTTGTCCATGGTTGCCATGGATATGCCCATGATCGTTGTTGATAGGGAGATGGAAAACATTATTGATGTTGCGGCTGAGAGCAACCTCTACCTCGACCATTGTGTTTTCCCCTACCACGACTGCTATAACCATTGTTCCGGCCACTAAATCCCCTGTTATTGTTGTTGTAAGTATAACTTTCCTTTAGACAGGTCTTGCATGATGTCAAAACTATAAGAACTTAGCATTTCTGTATATTGGACGATGTCCCTGAGTTGTTTTAGAACCCTGTTTCTCATGAACAATCTCCAGCCTCTTATTAAATGTTACTTGCAGGATCGACTACAATAATCCTAGACTTAATGTTTAGAGTATTTTAGGTTGAAACTGGTTGATATATGATTCATAGGTAAAAATGGCAAAAGTAAAAGACAATTGCAAAGTAAAGAGAAAATAAATGACAAGACTTATAATTTAAAGTGAAAACTAGAAATTGCTTTGAATTTAAATGTGGAAGCATTCACACATTGTCAAGCCCGAACTAGTTTCTCTCTTAGATGCAGGTACTTTGAGTGTAATGCTCTAAATGTGAAGAAATGTGACCTTTAACACAAATACAAAGGTTTGCTTAAATAGAATTCTAAAAGTGTAACCGTCGATGAAACAAAGTTTGGACTTCATCCCAGAGCCCTCATCTAAGGTGAAATCCAAGATCAAAGAATGACAACACCAAATGGTCATTCCCGTTGTTGTTTCAAAGAAACTCTTTTCATTCCATGGGCCTTTTCCAACCCAAGAGATGCATCCTAAGACAGTCAATAAGTACTTCCCTTGTTTTACCCCTGCTATCCCCTCTGAGTTTAACCATACAAAACCCATTGATGTTAAGTTTATGGTTTCTGATGACACGTTGTTCACCTTCATACCTGTGCCAGGCTATATGACGCATCTCACTTGGCTTGATAAAATCTAGGGGAAACAAAGATCTCAATGGGATAAGCTTGGCATCTTCGACATTATTCAAATTTCACAGAGCGCCCATACGATTGGTCCCAACTTTATTCTCACTTCACTCTTCTTTTGGGAAGGTTCGACCAACACTTTCCAACTTCCCTGTGGGATGTTGACACCTACCCTATTTTATGTGGCAGATATCACCGGGCTTTCCCCACTAGGTATGACTTTCGACCCAACTGAGTCAAGGAAACATACATTTTGCTTCGACCATTCGAATTTTGCCCGTTATATCACTGATCACCATATTATGGACACATAAGACATCTCTGTCACTGAGCACATAGCCTTTCTGTCCCTCCGTCTCTCCCATTTCTTATTTTCCACAGGCTCTTTAAGAATAGTTCAGGATTTCATACCTCTAGCGATTCTACTTCACGAAGGATGAAACATATCATTGGGCAAGCTTTTACTGGCGCATCTCTACCAAACTTTAAGCAATGATTCTATGCAGCTGAAGGCACTTCCTAATCATGAAACATGCTTAACCCTTTCAGAACCTCTTTGTTTTCTGCAACATTGGATGAATTCCACATTTGAATTTCGACTGGGTCACCCTATCTCTGAATCAGTTCTGCAATAGACCAAGGATAGAACCATCGAAGGCCCGAGGCTGTCTTTGACCACTCACCCCCATAAATTTGATCAGTTCGTTTTTATGAATTATATCAACCTGTTCATCAAGACCACCACATTTTTCTTAGCCATGGTCCCTTTTGTGGAGCCACGAATTTGTCCAAACTGGTTTCGAGATGCCTTCCTTGATGTTTCTCAAAATGTTGCCTGTACAAATGCAATTCAAAGGGCCCTTTTAACACCCACCGTGCTTTCCTGTCGAATTAACGATGGCTCAATTGAATGTGGTTTCATGGGTTATCAACCAACTTGGTGTCTCAACAGTTAGGCCTTAGTCAAATTTTTCCTTCATCTTTGTTCTACCGCCAAGCCGGCATTGTATGGGTTGGTAGATAACTCACTGCTAAGGAACATTGAGCTTACCTCAAACTCCACCGGGCAGCCCAAAATCTCGAAATTCCAATTTTTAACTTTGAATACTCCTTTTTTTTTTACTTCGGAGTTGTTCGACCAGTGGTGGCCTCAGCATCAAGATAAATACTTCTCTATACCCAGCTTCCTTCAAAGGCTGACCGACGCCTTTAATGCCCTGGAGACTCAACAACCTACAACCTCATCGATCTCTCAGGAACGGGAGCGCCTTGTGCCAGTCGAATTAAATCAAGGTTCCTCCTTCGAAATGGCAAAGAAAATGACAACCACCTTCTTCACCGACTCAGTCCCACAGGAGCACAATGTTGTGCAACCTAACTTAAAGGTATATATTATTTTTGCTTTTCCCTTTTATGCCTCTAGTTTTCATTCTAACTTCAAAACTCTCCCCAGAGGCTTCCTAGTGCAGAAAATGTTGAACCGATTCCCACCATAACTGCTCCTGTTGGTGACAATACCATAAAGTTTAGTCATCCATCTTTTGCCAATGTCATATCCCAAAATTTTCTTACCTTTTCAGTTTTATCTGGCTAGGGCTTGGCATTTCATTTGCATCATATTTATTAGGTCAATCACACATCATTCCTTCATTGAATAAGGCAGTGGTTCAAAGAAGCAGTATTATGCTAGTTAGGGATTAATATTGGTTTGAGGTTTCTTCATCAGATAAAGGCAGATTTATCTGGCTCTTGATCAGTGGATTATGTGAAATTATGGATTTTAGGTATGGTCATCATGGATTCCTTCTCCTCAAGCTATAAAGGCTATTCTCCATCCAAATTCATCAGAGCCTGAATTAGGGTTTATTTCCCTATTGTTTGTCAAGAGACTAGGGTTTTGGATCCATGGTTACTGTGAAATTCTTCTTTCATCTTCCATCAAATATTTTACAAAGATCAAGTGCATCAAGGTTTTAACTTGTGGTGTTTAAGTTTCAGCATATTTCAATTGAGGATTAGGGTTTTCATCTTGGTCCGTCTTTGTTTCAAGTATCATTTCTCAAGGATTTTTCAAGTCATTGCTTAAAATTATCAAGTTAAGAATAAGACAAAGGACTTGTGGATTAAATTGGATTATGATGCAAAAGTTGGAGTTGTGGGTTCATTGTAATCAAGGCATTCTTACTCCCTCAAGTACTTGTTGTTTCTAATGCAAAAGGATTTGGACTTAAGTTTGAAGATAGTTTTAAATTTGGATTCATTCAGGTGATTGATTTGAGATTCATCCAAGTTTTATTCATTCATCATCATCCAATTTATTCAAAGTCCATCTTGATTCAAGGTTCTTTTCAAAAGTGGTTTTTATCAAGCATTTCATCACCAAAGGATTTCAATCTAAATTCAAGATTCAAATATCATTCAAGAGTCAATTCTTATTCAAGTGCATCATAAATCCCAGGTTATTCAAAAGCTCATTCAAGATTCAAGCCACTCAAGCATCCATTCAAGTTTACAAATTCGTTCAAGATGTAAGTTCCATACTTCATTTCAAAATAAAAAAAATCTAAAGGGGGATGATAGTACATACATGAAAATCAAGAGTTTTGAAGAAAAGATAAAGTTTGCATTAATTGTTGAATACACGAATTGGTACAAAGTATGATTCAAGTAACTTCATTCAAATTTTAATTCAAGGAGCAAAAATCCATAAAGAAGTTTTTTTTACAAAGTTCTTTTCATTAAAGATACAAGACACTAAATGGAATTAGGATTAAAGGTCTCCAAACAAAGTTTCAAGATTACATCATAAGTGTATTGACATTCTAAACCTATTCAAACAAAGAGCCTAATCTTAATGTTTTGAACTTCATGCTTCATGTTTACTTCAATCTCCAATATTTCTTCTTCATGCCAAGATGCAAAACTTTGCCATAAACATGCACAAAATGTACACTACAATGCTATCCTAATTCTGTTGTGTTGCTATATCCATACCTATCCACAAAACCTGCAAAATTTGCTCTGCACCAAGCTGCTACAACATGCTAAAAAAAGCTGTCAAAACAGACCAAAATCTGTGCAAAATCTGCACAAAACAACAACACAAAATAGTTCAAATGCTGCTCCACTTTGACATGCAGCCCTGCACAATCTATGCCATTGCATCACCATAATTCCAGCCCTACACATTGTTGTCAAACCTATAAATACCAGCTGCTACTCCACTCCAAAAATCAACAAAAAAAACCATCCATATGTATCAGTCCAACCTGCTGCAACATTGCACAAAAATGGTAACTGCAAAAACCTGCATCCAAAAGCCACAAAATAACATGCTAAAATAGTTCAAATCTCACCAATTCCCCCCCCCCCCCCCCCCCAAACCCTTATGTAACACTATAAAAGAACCCCCTCTGTTCCTATAATGGCACACCAACGATACACAACAAGAACCATAGAAATAAAATCACAAAAAATATACACCATCATTTTCAAAAATTCACCAAAAATTCGCAGAAAGCTCTATACTAACTGTTTCTAATCTCTAAATTTTCTATGAGTTCTACTGCATAATCTCCACCTTCCACTTTAATCAACCTCAAGTTTCTATACAACTTCATCTTCAATATATTTCTACATCAACATTAATACCTGCAAAAATTGTAAACAACAACAACTCGGTAATAACTACTACAAACGCATCCAAGCAACACTGACACGTAGTATCAGGATTCAACTCACCACCAAAAACAACGCACCTAGAATTTCCCGATACTGACACTGAATGACACAATTTGAAAGCCAACACAAAATTTACACAGAATCAGAAGGAGGAAAGAAAATCAAAACATTGTACCTGGCAGTGCTATTGATTTCGTCGATTTGGTAACAGTTAAACCCTGATATTTTGCCTTCATTTTATGCAATTTTATTACTGTGATTATGTTGATTGTTTCCCATGATTACTTGTGTTGATATTTTGCCATTACTATTTGATGTTAGTTATATGTTTTTCTTCCATCTTGTTAAAATTGACATTGTTGTGTGTGTTCAATCGACTGTTTTTGTTAGTATGGTATTGATGTTGTTGTTATGAATCAAAAGATGATGGGAGAACTGTAAGTCTCAGAGTGCCTAAGAGGGAGGGGGGGTGAATTAGGTCTTATAAAATTTATTCGGTTTTATGAGAATGCTTGGTAGTAATTT